TACACTCTACCGTGTGTAATCGCTATCTCCTCGAGATCTACCTCGGAGGGAGGAAGTTCATTCTTCTCTTTATCGTATTCTCATTTATTTTCTGTTTTTTTTTTCTTTTTCTTTTTTTTTTTAAAGGGACTTCTTTGTACGCACCGAGGACGTAACACGGTGCGCGCGACACGGGGCGTCGATGGTCGAAATCGACGCGCAATAGTTCCCAGAAATTTTTATCTCGTGAATGTCGAGCTTGTTCGAAACGAGTTCCCAAACCGGGGATTTCGTACATCCGAAACTATTATTGAATTGTATCTTCGTTTTATCGCTCTTTTATCGTTACAAAGTGACGACGTTTGGCTGTTTCAAATGTTACGCGGTTGGGCATTTGGTACACGTGTCTTAAAAGAGAAAATAGTATTTACGGTGGCAACAACGAAAGCGAATATTCGAATCTTCATCCGCTTTCGCGAAAACATTACGGACGGTGAAAAGTGGATTTATTATGATAACCCTACGCGTGCACCGCACCTTTAGCTTTCAAGACGAGCGTGTCTGGTATCCGACGTGTACAAACGAGCCGACTTACTATATTAAGGGATCTCTGCATAATTCCTATCATATCAGCATACGGTCGTGAAATATTCGATATACATCGTTTCCCCGCGGCATTCTTTCTGGATCACCTTTGGTCGCCAAAAATTTGCTTAACGACAAAATACGTCCACGAATCTTCGATTTACCGTTTGAAACGCGTGTTAAACAGGGCGAGTGAGAAAGGGTAAACAATGGCCTCGAGCGAGCCAACGATCGCTTCGACCTGGATCAAAACGGACCAAGGTTGAAAAATAACGAAACAGAAGGGAGCTGGAAACATCTGACGCATCCCGGCCCCCAAAAAGTCCCGCGGAAGAACTGCCAGGGTTTCGATTTCTTTTCGCAACTCGACAAAAGCCTAGACAACAGGCCAGGGACGAGATGTTATCGATTAACTATGCGAAAGCACCGCCTCTCCTCTCGCGTCTCTTTGTCCCCAACGGAGTTCGCGAGTATCCAACCCTCCTCGAGCCAACCCCCTCTGCACCGAACTTCGCGTGCACCCTGTAGATCCGGAGAGCACGGAAGGGGGTTCGATCATCCCTAAGGGTAGGTTCACCCCTCGCTAATGGCCAATCGTGGCTCGTGCACGCCCAGTGACGTCACCCTTGCCCCTCTGCACTGTAATTAGCCAATCCCGACGCAGAGTGGACGACATCCAACCCCTCGTCCACGATTATATTTACGAACCAATGATTTCTACAGTATTTCAACGATTCTGTGTGCGCGTGTGTGTGTGTGTGTGTGTGTGCGAGAGCGGAGGAGAGGGAGAGTGTCGCGCGTGTCGTGTGTCCAAATTGCGAAAGAAACAGGATCGACGCAACGGCCCCTCCTCTGCCTCTATTTTCCTGTTTTGCAGGTTCGACCTTTCAATCCTCTCCTGTCTCCATCTTTTTTCCACGCTTTCCCACCCTTCGTTCTCGTTTTTCTTCGCTAAGTTTTCGTACGGCAACCGTCAACGGTGGTGCGATCGCGTAGTTCGAAATCCTTATAAAAAGTGTATCTCGGAATTTTGTACAATATAACGAATAGTATCAAGAGTATTCGAAAAGCGATCATTCAGATTTCGATTTATTCGAGAAAGCAACTGGACTCGTTCGCTCGAAACAGGATACACCGTGTATTTTCTTACGATCGAGTTCAAAAATTTCCTTGGACTGCGACTTTTTGTCCAGTTTAAAGATCGAAGATGCGAACGATGCGATCAATTTCGTTTAGAGAAACTGTTGGGCACGATAACTTTTCGGCATTACGATAATAGCGTTTCACGTGTTGCTAAATTGAATACTGCACGAAACAATCGCATAGAAGAGCCGCATGCAACCTAGGCAGAAACAGATTCTTGTTAGTTTGCTCGTGAAGAATACGTAATAAGTTAAAAAGAAATTCACAGAAAGTGGGTCGAAGGAGATTCCAAAGGACTAAAAAAGAGTCGTTTTCGTGCGACTGAAGGCGAAGAGAGATCGCCCCCGTTCCCCCGAACCGCGACCAGCCGTTGTCACAAAGAGGAGAGACGTTGAGCGAGTTTTTCTTCCACCGGTATCGATTCAAGACGGCGTATAATTCGATATCGATACGGTAATCCTATCCATACGAGGCACACGCAAGGTCTCGTCACGTTGATCGCCGACCACGCGCATCGGTTGACAAATGCTGTCCAATGCTGTCCACTCTGATACGCCTTGCGAGTTGCCAGACCATTGTTTCTCAACGTGGCCAATATCGTCCCCTGATGGACGACTGACACCTCGAAGTGGACGACGATACACTATCCGATTATGATCACTATCTACTTTTGGGAGGCGATAACCATCATGGTGTTTCCAATTACATATTTAGTTGAATGGGGTTTCAATGCTGTTTCCCAAACACCGACTATAAATTTTAGGATAAGGTGACCTGAGATCGTACATCTGAAATCAGAGCCAAATTATCTCTCAAAAATTACAACTAAACATTATTAAACTTTGCAGATATTAATTATCTCAAGGTTGGCATAAAAACTTTAAATTCCATGTAACGTATTATATCTACATCTTATGTTAAAATTATAGGAAACATTTCATTTTCACGTATCTCTAGTTTGTTGTATGCTAAGTTAAAATTACAAGCAGACTGCGTAAGACAAATGTAAACATACAAGAATATACAAGATCTGTACAAATGCATAAACGTATCCGAATCAAAATAAAATACATGTTGCAAGCATCGAGAAGACGAAAATTACTTTAAGTTTCAAAACATTCGCAGTACAATTATTCTAAGTGATAAATATTTCTTTTTTTTTTTTTTCATGTGTCTTTCACATTTCTTTATTAACGTCTCACCACCGCTTGGGGATTATCACGCAATTTTAAACTCTCAAAAATTGAAGGGGGTGGAGGATTAATTAAAGAGTGGATCTGACAAACGGGTCATTTGGGTAAAAAAAAGTTGAGAAACACTGCGTTAGACGATAACGGTTCAGGCAGCCTCGAATGCTGACTGTTCGCGAGCGCCGAAGCGAATTCGCGGTGTCACGGGACATTATTTCAACTCGATCGGACAACTGTTGCAGTTTCATCATCGACTAGGCAGATAGAACGACAACCTTTCGTTCGATTTTCTAACGGGCGAAACGCGACAATTTGACGAATGAAGAAACAGCATCTGGCAAAATTGAACGAGCAGACACGGCCTGGAAAAATATTACTTTGCTCCTGACTTTTAATAAACTTTGTACGATTACAATATTTTCTATTAATTTATTCACGTTTATTCGCGCAAGCCAACCTTAACTTTTTATTCTCCTGGCTGAGACTATCTATCTATTCATAATTACAACTACACTACTTATTTAAAACTACAATTAAGTCGAAGTAAATTTTTTAATGAGAGATCCGAGTTTCTTTGAAAGTTCGTGTATAAATCGTGGCTAGTAGAAGAGCGACAGGCAAGCTCGACCGACACTTACGTGCACGCGCCCCACGGAATCGAGCACGTGCTAGGAGTTCAGTTTCTTACGCACGTCTGCCAGCTGCAAATATCGTGCAGAGGTCCAACTAACTTAAATGTACGCATGCGGAGCAATGAAGAACACGGGATCCATCTGGCGTGTGCGTGACCTCTATGAATTATCCTGGCCCCTAAGCCGACTTTCGCGATTTCCTATTTCGTCGTTTTCAGTTACACGTTTCAGAGTTTCAGACGTTCACCTCGCGATGAAATTGCGAGCCGTGGCTGCATTCAAACGGGAGCCTAATAAGTTTCCTATTGTTATTCAAATATCTCTTGGACGATACGAAGAAATTCGTAGTGAATCGACAAACTGGAACCTAACCTTCCCAAAGAACATCTCCTGTTCGAAATCTGAATACGTAATGAGATTGGAAAGGGTTTGGTCGAACAAGGAGGCCAGAAGTGTCTCAAAACCGATTCGTTCTACAGGGTGTCCCAAAAATGTTGTAACGCATTGCAAGAGGTGGTTCGGGAGGTGATTTGAAACAACTTTTTCCTTAGCGAAAATGTTGTCCGAGGCTTCGTTGAGGAGATATTAACGGAAAACACTGACCAATCAGAGCGCGAGTATGCCGGTGGAGCGGCCGCGGTAGCGTATGAGCGCAGCCGCCTAGCGCGTAGTCGTCGCTACCATGACCGCTCAACGGTATACGCGCGCTCTGATTGGTCGCGGTTTTCCGTTAATATCTCCTCAACGAAGCCTCGGATAACATTTTCGTTAAGAAAAAAGTTGTTTCAAATCACTTCCCGAACCACCTCTTGCAATGCGTTACAACATTTTTGGGACACCCTGTATAGTCCATCGTTACAATCTAGACTCTAGATTCTAGGGTATCAACTATATTCTCTATTTTACAGGTTAATTTAGTGTCGTACGGGTGTAAGTATAAATACTCTGTTAATACTACTTACGACGTGAATGCTATTTCATTTTTAGATAGAGAACTGTAAATGAATTAAAACTTACCAATAAGTGGTTGAATCTACAAGGCGCATCCCCACGAAGAAACATGGTGTATAAATCATGTCAAGTGTCCTCGCTGGTTCCCCCATTTCACGTGGAACGATTTCCTGCTCTCCTAGTCGGGACTTTACACAAAGGTTACACTTGTCAATCACAAATTTAAGAAACTCTCGCGTTTTAGATCCGTTATCATTGTTACATAAATGTGAGACGATTTCCACTATAATTCGCGACACACAAAGTTGCTTGGTCGATCGGAAAAATACATTAGTTCGAAACGAATCGGAAGATTCTTCGATCGAACAGTTTCGGCGGTGCCAACCGCCCCGGCACGCGACAACGTTGCCGTTTTTCGTCTGCATTGGGCATATACGTAGGTGCGAGAGAGAGTGCGGTATAGATACGTCCAACAAAGAGGGGATGAAGTTTCTTCGAAGAATGCGCCTAGCGACAGTGAGAACCGGCCAATTATTTGTGACGAGAGGTTAGTCGTTTATACGTTTGACCAAAGAGAATACCTGAACACGCGATTGAAAGAAACGATACAGTGACGGCATTCGAAATGTGTTTCAAAACGCTTTTAATTGGTAAGCTAGCTTCATTCCTACATTAATACACTAGTATTGACCATAGAAATTGCATTCGTAGTGACTTTTATTTCGCTCTCTAGAACCTTCGATAGAAGCCATATTGCGCATTGACGATTACGAGCACAATGCTCAAGATCGATATCCATTTCGTTTACGATTCGTAACTTCGATGGTGTTTCATTGGTTATATAAATAAATAGTAAAATTTGCAAGTAGAATTATTCGAGTTTATTCAAATTATTATGCAAGGAAATTAATTCTTTTTATTTCAAATAGATTGCGTCTACCCACAACGCTGACCAGTGAGTGGAACGAGAAAATAGCGGGAAAACGAGCCGAAGCTTGCGAAAGGTCGTTCCAGCGACAAGATGGAAAGGAGACGATTAAATGAAGCGCAAGATTTTCGCAGAGGACAAAGAAACATTCGGTGAGCGATTCTGACGATGCTGTAAAAATTGAAAGTAGAATCGATTGCGAAATTAACAACTTAACGATTGGTGACGCGATATACCGCGTCGAATCCGGATAATTCGATCAGCTACGGACGAATCGGTGAACTTTTCGTTAAATCTGAATAATTTTTTTATGTTTTCTTCTCACATATACCGGGTGCTTCATAATATTTACACGTAACCATAACAATAAATGTAGAAAATTTTAAATGTATACATACTTTCTATGACCACATACGTTAGTTCAATACAATTATGCAAATTTATTATTTGAACTTTTGCAATTTCAATGTATATATATATATATATATATAACATATATATGTAGTAATATATATAATGTATAATGTATAATATGTAATGTAATGTATAATATATATATAATGCAATATATATATATTGCATTACTATATGTATATAAACTGCATTACATGTGTATCGAAATTACAGAAATTCAACCGCTAATTTTGCACAACGTAATTTCCTTAAACTAAAATTTAAAATTAAGAGCATTTATAGAGTTACTAAATAGACTTTAATTTAATATTCCAAAAATTCTTCTCCAATTTCAAAGATGATTCAGCTGATCCACTTTCAATACTCCATTCTGCACATATTATTTGGCACATAATATATTATCTGAAAGGTGGTTTGTAACTTATTGGTTGAGATAAAAAATCGATTGTAAAATGAAAACCAAGTAGAGGAAAATGATGGCCAGTATTCCTGAAGAGGTTGAAAATTTAATGAAAGTAGATGAGAAATGAAACGAAGGGCTGGAGTGAACGAAGAAGGGAATAATATGAACCGTTGCGGCGTAGACGGATAAGTTTCTTTTGTGCGGTTTTGCGTCCGATGCTCCGTTGCCGTTTTCTCGTTGTTGTTCTCGTTGTTGCTCGTCGATGCACGATCACCGTGACCAGCGTCCACCTTCATTCACGGGGACAAAGTAACCGTGTAATCGAGCCTCTCCATGGAAGCTTCTTCCGATCCACTGTCTTTTTTCTCTTTACTCCCCTCCTTCCATCTTCGGTTCCATTCCATTTTTCGCGGCTAGGCACACTGCTAGATCGAGGCCACGTTCAGACTCTCTAGGACCCAAGTCGACTTCTTCAAACGCTGATCTACGAAAGTTTTTATTGCGTTCAGGGTAATTTTCCAGCTTTGAAACACTGTTTTTGGGTCGTGTGCTTGGACGCCAGTTTGGGCCTTGCGGGCCCAAACTAAAATTTTCTCTTGATGCTTACGAGATTGCAACGAGGACATTGGAAGGGGAGAGCGTGTTGGTTCACTCGAAGAGTTCGTGACTCCTGAAGCAGCTTGTCGCGTCAAAATAAACATCTGCGTCCTCGATCCTTGGAGGACCTCTTCAGAACTCTTCGACAACCTCCGTGAAGAGGTCCCGAAGGGTCAGCTTGCGCAAACAGGATCGGCAAACAGACACGGGACGGTATTTTCTATTTCCGGCGTGGAGCACGCGTGGAAAGTCAAACAAATGATCGATGGATTGGTCGGTTTTCTTTTGAACTTTTCCAACCGTAATCCGGGAAAATCGTTCGATACAAACACGGCTGACAGAGCTTTAAAGAAAAGAGAAGAGAGTTTCAATTCAATCTATTGTTTCGAGGTATCGGAAGATCCTTAAAACACCGAAGACCTCGAAACAGGCATCGCAGGAATACAGGACACCGTTCGCGGGAATTCCCTTCGACGGTGCCTCGATTAAACGCAATTACCTGTAACTGGAATGGACCGAGAATAAAAACTGACATTTCCAGGCCTATGGTTCCATCATCGGGTGAAAGGAAGCTCGGTTGTGAACCGATTGGAACGAAACCCGGGATCAAAAAGTATCCGAAGAAGGTACCCACCACGGTGCCATTTAAACGGTTTAACGTGGGTGTAATTGAAAGGCGCGTAACGGCTGATTATGAGGTCCCGAAGGGGGTCCATTCAGTCGAGGGGCACAAAGGTGCGTCGCCCGACGAAAACAATGGCGGCCCTGGCACGAACACAGCATCGGCTTGATTAAAACGAGAATTAGGGAAATAAAGCTGCCCGTTCTAATTGCGCCTAGCGGCTTATCGCCTGGCCTTATGTTGGCCTGACTGGGCTCCAGATTGCCAACTACGTTTATCGGGCTTGACGTACGCGCCCCCCCGGTTCATAACCTGTTTCAAAACGCAAATTGTACGAGACAGATTTTTGTTTGGGCTGAATTCTAGCGTCGAGCCGACGTCTGAGTGGAAAGCCACCGGTGGAGATCGTTGGCAAGCTCGGTGTACAGCTATACTTTTTTGTTTTTTCTAATTTGGTATAAACATTCATTCTGTGTTTCTATATTCAACCATTTCTGGAGAGCAGGTAAAAATAGGTATATTTGGGGAATTTTCTTAAGATAAATGAAGCGATTGATTGAAATTCTGTAAATAGATATTTATTAAACTACCAGGCTATATATACAGAGTGAGTCCGAAGAAACAGAACACCTAAATTTCTACGTGAAACGAATTGAAAATATAGCCAAATGAATTTTAAAGCCAACCTAAAATATTCTTTAAGTTGTCAAAACTTGAGTGAATTTTAGAAAGAATTTTCTTTAAGAAAAAAAAAAGAAAGAATCACGAAAAACATTTAATATTTGGCCTTCTACCAGACCAGAGAAGTGTTATCGTTCCTATTAATTAGTCCAGAATCATTTCTTGGTTACAAGATTTCCCAGCCATTTTGATCCAAATATTCTTGAAGTGGTGCATAGGAATCAGATTAAACATCATAGTATAATGTCTGCCTTGGCGATCAGATAGCAGCCCCTAATTCCTATGTTCGACGATTCGTCTTGCAGGTGAAAAAGGGGTCCGCAAGTTCGCAGAGAGCACGCTGCCAGAGCTTGAGGAGACCTTACGTAGGCGGACAGTTGAGCACCGGCTGCGCTTTACGAGCCCGTTCTTCCTCCCCGCCGACGGCTGTGCACAATATACAAAACGTTAATATCCTGCGACGAGGAGTTAATGGACACGCGGCACGGAGCTTCCCCGTTACGTAGGCGCAGATAATATATAGTTGATGTAACGAGGTTATAACCGGGTGCAGGACGGCCAAGCAACCCCTTTCGTCCGTTTTGCGTGCCTCCCGTTAAACGTGACGAGGACAAATTGTGAACGCCTCGTCCCTTTCCTCCCTCCCTCGCTAGCGACCCCTCTTTCTTTTCGTGATGGATGGTCCTACCAGGTGATGCACCCTCTAGTTAAAAACCCACCCCCGTGGAAATCTATCTCCTTTCCCTCGGTCCCCGTCTACGCTCGAACCTTTTCGCTTCTTTCTCCTTATCTTCCGACACTCCACGGTGGACCGTGAACCCCAAATGATGCCCACTAAAGAGTAACAAAAGATTTCTGTAAGTTAAACTCGATGTAAAACGGACGATTACGATAGCTGGAATCATTAGGGACCTTGCAGGTCAAACTAAAGAGCGAGGAGTGTTTGTCAACGAAATCGGGAGAAACGATTGATTATTAGTGAGATTAGGTGCCGAATCACTCGGAACAATGTTTTTTTTAACGCTTCAACTTGCGTATTTAGTAACAGTTTAGTGTCTCTAACCTAGAAGAGGATTTTCTACATTAGATGATGTTACAGATCCAATTCGACTCGTCCCCATTCAGCTACGGCGTATTCTTCTCTTCTTCTCTCGATTTTGGAAGCTAGCGATGACTCGTGTCTCCGAGTATATTTAATCGTCTTCCATTCGTTCCGCTACGAGGGCGTGTTCATGAAAAGCTCGTTGTCATCGGGCAGCTCGTACTCGTTTTGGGTCCCGTTTTCCATGGGGTCGTGATTTCCAGGGATCCTGACGGTTAATCGTTGGATCCGTGAAAGAATGATACATAACCTCGGGTCATTGGCTTCTGCAAATCTAAATCGTCTAAGAAAAATATAGAATACTGTGAAATATTATTAAGGAGCCATAACGCTGTAAAATTGGTTTACAAATTGATTTTTTTTTTTTTTTTTTTTATCGCATTTCTTGGAAAATGTACGAAATTCGAAAATGTTGTTCGAAACAGTTAGAAGATAACAGTCAGAAGTTAAACGTAACAGAGTAACGAATATATAAATACATCTACCTAAACTTAAATTATAAATTGTAGAATATGAAATCACAGAATTAATTTCTACATTTAATATTTTTGGATTGGAAAAATGAAAACAAAAAATTCATTTAAAATATTTGAAATTCATTTAATATATTTGCATTGGAAAAATGAAGACAAAAAATTCATTTAAAATATTTGAGATTCATTTAATATATTTACATTGGAAAAATGAAAACAAAAAATTCATTATCTGATAGTGTCTCAGCAGAAGGGCCCAACAAGCTTCGATTCTTTTTCTACGCCTGAGAAAACATGAATTTGCGTAAATATCTGCAGTCCAGCGATAGATAAAACTACGGCTTTGTATCAAATATAAAATCTAAACGCACCCGAGCTTTCGCGTTCCTAACGCAACAACAACCAAAATATTCAAACACGCGATGCCTGAGGAGAGTCGATCGGCGGTTGTACGTCTACGGACCTCACCCTAGATGCTCGACGTGGTCGTAACACGTTTTCAGGCGAGTAATTTTAGAAATGGATCGCCCCGATCCCTCGACGATCTCGCGGCGAAAGGATTTCTCGGTAGAAGGTGCCGATGTCGCGGAAAACGGTCGTCGTTTCCCACAAGCGGAAGGAGCGTCATTAATCGGGCACCAGCAGACATCAGAGACGCCTGGCAGGAGAAACAAACATCAGCCGTGCCCACGGTGCCTTTTATTATCGGCGTAAGCGCGGTTTTTATTACGACGAAAAACTGTTTGGACTTCCACGGAGGCAGGAGTCGTCTGAACGTTACGCGCGTAAAACGACGCTTTGACTGGTGCCGACGGTGCGTTCGTCCCTCTGCGACTTTTGTCGTCGTCTGGCGTTGATGGAAATTCACGTCGACAGCCTCTCTTCGCTAGGCTTTCAATACAGTGGCTAACGAAAGTATTCGAACGCTTACATCTACGAATTTTAGCATATCAATTACAGAATTTGGGATTGTAGGATTCGGTATGGTCGAGGGTGGCGAATAAATTAGACGCGTGAGAAATACTAAATAGGAAGAAGTATAAGAAGACTGACGCAACACATTCGCACGCACGATAGTTACATAAACGCGACACGAGATCTCGCGAAGCCGGCCAAACAACGTCGAACACATCGATAGATTATTCGTTCGACCGATGCGTCCACCGATCGAAACACGATCTCGTGACAAGAATGTATGTAAAGTGCCGGTACGTTTAGTGTTAACGTAGCAAATAAATTACTACCGGGAATTTCTACTAATCGAACGGAACCACTTGCGACAAAGGGTCGGTTCTAAGCAACGTCCAGTGTCCAGTCCGCGAAATTAGGGATATAGCAAAATTGCCCGTGAGTCCGGCGCCCGTTGGGCGGTCAGTTTCAGCCCGGATTTCTCTGGTGAATGGTAACAGGCCGAACGGCCATTCCTCCTTTCGTTTTCTTTTCCCCCGGTAACGCTTGTTGAAAACGTTACAATTCGCGGGGCGGCTTTTTCGACGAATGCGCGTGTACAGGCGCAGCTGCGTTACTTAATTGACAAAAAGCCAACGCCACGGGAATCACCTTGTACATTTTCCCTCCCTCCGCTCGTAATTTGATCAAGAACCCCGTTGACGCGCGACACTGTTGACATTTGGTTATTTTGACGTCAAGCTGAGATCCGTCGATTCGCGTGAGGCTCACAGGGCCACACACCTAACCCTTCCACTTCTGGGGCCCTTCGAGACCGCCCGTGGATCGCTGCTGCTCGGACCGACGGGGAGAATTGCGATAGAATGCCGACGAATTAACGAACCGCGTTTCGAAACAATCTTCCGCGCGGAGCGATTCGACTCGTCACGCCTGTCGTCGCATGGGAAATTGTCGTTCGTTGTTTCTGTTTGCCATTCGATAGGAACCGTGCCCAACCGTGCCCAACCGTGCGTGCTTCTAGATATACAGTAGAATTCCCGTTATAGGAACGAAGTTTTCGTCAACGTCCGAATCGGTGACCTAGAAAACACCCTATGTATCTTGATTTTAGTTTCCACGTGAAAGGGTAAAATTTGAAATGTCGAAATGGAAGAAAGGCCGTAGAGGTGGTTAAATAAAGATTCCGTTCGATCTCGAATATCAGAATTTCTTGTATCCTCCCGCGCCGAAAATTTAACCTCGGGACGGACCAGGCGCGAAATTTAGCACCTAGGAGACAGTTACGATGCGCATAGAAGATTCCAAGACGCGTTTCGCTAAACCGCTAATTTCACAGTCGTTTAAGCGACGATAACTCATCGAGATTTACTGCGCCGAGCGCCGCAGCAGATTTGACATCATATTCCATTAGACTCGAAGCACCGACCGACGGAGCTCGCGATTTTACGAGCCCCTCGGCTCTCGCGAATGAAACTGTTTTCGTTACTGTCCACGTTATTTATTTATTAATTTTTTATTTATTTATTTATTTATTTTTTTTTGATCGTGCATAAACTAAACTCTGTTAGGGGGGAATTTTATATTAAATTATTAATGCAACTGAAGGATTTATTCTTCGATACAGAATCAATCTTTATTCGCGTTTTAAGTATCGATACTTGTTCAACTGTGTTTGTTACATTATTTGTACTTGGTTAATGATCTAAACTTTTGTACTGGGTCCGAACAGCAAATGGCAAATGGAAACTTAAAATGTACATCTTGATACACATCTGTGCGAAATATGGGTTCAATTTACCCTTTAGTTTGTCAGATATGATCACATGAATTTTGTGATTTTTCGTAAAATTTGAAAGGAAGCTTATGGCAGCCGACAGAAAAATACTAAAAGTTGAACGGATATGGCTATACGTTTTCAATTATTCAATTGTATTTCAAACATTCAGGTTTTGAAGGTTACGAGACGATCGGAACTGTGGTCATTTTTGACCAAACAATCTCAAAGACACTTTCTTCGATTAAACGCAAAAATATTTTACGTGGGACTGAATCGAACAACGCACGAAACAATTGCGTGCAATTCGTATATTACATACAAGAATTGTAATACCAAAGTTCAGTGTCAAATAACTCGTGCTGCGAGTTGAAGGAAACGTTTGTTTGCAAGAATTTCGTTGTTTCGAAAATTAGAGGAAGGTCGAATAGGAGCACCTGGTAAAGAAAATAAAAGAAATCGGACAGCGGAAACGATGATCCAGTTATTCGCGGCGAATCGACGTCTCCCCTCGAGCCGTCCGTTTCCAAATGATACAAAAGTCGCATAGTTCTCCTCTTTGATGGGCGCAATGGAAGCGGAACCGACATTTGCATCGGCGTGGAATCGCGCCGCTGGGCCTTTCCATCAAAATTCACCACGAGAAAGCAGGGCAAAACAGGTCCGGAACGTCCGCCTTATTTTACTTTCCAAAAATGCGCAAAGCATCGAGCAGATCCGTCAGAGCTGTCGTTGAAGGAACCGACAGCGGCACAATAAGGCCATTCGTATCCTCTTGCGCATGCGAATTACACGGATCAAGGACCATCAATGACCATCGATCATATTTGTGCACGGACACGTTGACGCGTTTTTGAAAAAAAATCCGTTCCATCGACTCCTGTCGGGCTTGAAGTGTTTGAATTCGAAGCGGTGTGCTCGATAAACATATTTCAACTGTTTCTATTAATCTTCTAACAAACGAGACACCGAAGCGATTCTAGAGATATATTAAAAGATATATATATTTACAAACGAGTAAAATTCTTTGTTCAGAGGACTGGACAAGGATTGGTTCATCTTAGATTCGTGTGCCTATACCGTGCCCTTTTGAAAATGTTTAGACTTCCATCTATGAATATCGTCCAATGAAGTCTCCAAGTTCCTTTCAAAAGATATACTTATAAATGAGTAAAATTCTCTTCCTATCGATCTAATTTTTTTACTAAAAACATCTGCAAACGCGAACCCGTCTTGAACTCCAGTGGCTTTGCTGTGGCCCCTTAAAAGTTCGTCGGCTCAAAGACTACGTTTCGGAGATTAAAGTTCCGCTGTCTGGGAAGACGTTCTTTAGCAACCACGGCCAAGTCCGGTGCAACAGAAATTCACGATCGAAGCAAGGATGGGTAATAAATACAGTGAAAAGCCCGTCGAGTCGTCGATTTTTCTTTCACCTTGTCGGCCAGTGTCCGGCTTGAAAAGTCGATTGCGAGGTACCTGTTCTTCCGCAGGGGGGCGAAGAATCGCGTTCTGGGAGCGAGAGACTGTCGTTTTATTTACCATTCAGCTTCTGGGCCTAAGGAGTA